TTAATCATTACATAGTTTAACTTTTGACATTTCCAACACATGTAATATTCAAATTACGCAATTCAGCCGGTGGCTACTATGTAATTTTTTTTAAATAAACTATCTATCTATCTATCTATCTATCTATCTATTTATCTATCTATCTATCTATCTAGATATCTAGATTATACTATTCTTGTTGGTATATTTTACTACTTAGATTGTTGTTGTCGTTGTGTGAAATTTAAATTTCTCCTGCGACAGTTTGAATATAAACTTTGCTCAGGCTATTACAAGTTTGTAAAATAGAACCTGATACTTAGGTTATGATCGCCATGCATCGCGACGTTCAACATAGGTCGTTGTAAGTCGTTGTAGGGTCGCTATGTAAATCATTGCAGGGACGTTGTAGGTCGTTGCAGGGCCGTGGTAGATCTTTGTAGATCGTTGTAGGGTCGTTGTAGATAGTTGTAGGCTCGTTGTAGGTGGTTGTAGGCTCGTTGTAGGTGGTTGTAGATCGTTGTAGGCTCGTTGTAGGTGGTTGTAGGTGGTTGTAGATCGTTGTAGGTGGTTGTAGGTGGTTGTAGGTCGTTGTAGGTCGTTGTAGGTCGTTCCTTACTTTAGTACTTACGTTACTGTCTAGCACAACGTCAACAGTGCAAACTCGTGTTCAGTGCAACGATAACTCTACCAGATCTTACGAGAATCAATCTGTACACAGACCCGTATCAAAGCTTGTTAAAACTGCTATAAACACTGCTATAACTGTGAAACTATTGAAATCTAAAGTGACATTATTGAATACACGCGAAAAGCTGAAAATGACTCATGAAACGCAATGTGACATTGCCATTGCGAATATAAAGTCAAAGGTCAATCAGACTTGTTATTGTGAGACATGTCACAATTAGGTTAAAATGCGGAAGCGGATGGAGCGGATCCACGGAACGGATATGGGGATAAAATATAGAACGGATGGGGATAAAATGCGTTCTTTTAATGATACGACGTCGTAGTGCTTATTATTCATAACATATCTTATACAGCTATTTGGGTGATGGGAATAATCATATTAAATAAGTTCAGCGTATCAGTACCCTCGTTAGGATGCTTTTAGCGACAGCTGCAAATACAAATGAAGTTTTAGAATATGCAAAATTTGGGTGTTGGTGAAACAATTTAAATTTCGAGTTATCGCGTGTAGCATCACAATAAATAAATAAATTGTATCAGTTCCACGAGGCACGTTTCTGATCTGTTAGGCTTGTTTCAAACATGGCGCTACTCATGTGCCGAACGCATTATAAAGTAGATAATGAGATGAAATGCCTTTGGTAACTGTTTATTTCGTAGTGTAAGCCATCAGCCTTTCTAGGTTGTCGGCGACCCTATATAATTATTGTTGCAGTGTCTTTTTCAATTCGAAACTTCACACTATCCTTGGATCCCTAGTTCATGTTCCTATCACTTCCGTGTTGGGCTAAGAGAATAACAAATCAAAAGGACTAATATCTTGCCTGCCACTTGACAAATTAAAGGTAAACTGGAATGTATAGAGAATATTTATACATGGTTGTGCGGAAATATGTAATTTATTTCGAGTGTTGAAGAGAACTATTGCTATCAACGAGTGAGCGTAGCAAATTGCAAGTTGTTCCATTATGTGATTTAATAATCTAAATTTTTGAGTATGGTCATGGACATAGCTATTGTAATTATTATGAGTATTTACTATTTTATCTTCGTATCAAACCAAATATATCCATTGCGAGCTTTAATTGGTATTAAACTGAGCCAGTTTGAGAACATATGTTTACATATTTAACTACCGGAAAATAAATTCCTCTTTGGCACTGAGCTTTGCATGTTATTTAGTATTTTTGTATCACGTTATGATTAAAATGGACAAATTTCTTGAATAATACTTTTAATCTTATAAGGAAAAATATTAGACCTCATACTTCGTTTTGGATTTGTTACTTTTTATGATAGATAGGGGTACTAAAGCCTTGATATTTCCAGAGGGTATTAAAATACAAAATTAGCCTGTGACGGTATGCTCCAGATTTTACTTCATATTCGATTTGTCCTGAGCAACAGAAGTTCTACAACAAAAACGTATACACGATGTACTGTGCAAATATAAAACGTCATATTTATAGATGTTTGATTGACATGTTTACGCACAGGTCACGCATTTCATACCGCACGGGTTTTCCCTGAGTTTTAATAATCAGGGCTTCCATTTCCGGCAATTGTTTTATGGTTGAACCTTCACGAAACAATTACAAATTTTAGATATAGACAAGCGAATTATATTTGCGTGTATATCTTGACTGTTATTTAATGGAGGCCTCTGAAACTTGGCTAAACTATAAAAACAAAGTATAGTATAAACGTAGCCCTGTTGTTTTAAATGTCAGAAACTATTATTAGCTCATGACTCCATGTACAGACGTCCAATCCCACGTCTTTGAATCCACACATTTTACATTATTTTCTTTAAATTGTTCTTAAAAGTAATGAATTGTATGAATAGCAGATATTTAGCTCCAGATAAAAATAAACATTTTGTATGATTTGTTATTGGTGTAATGTACTCAGGTGAATAAGATGTTTGTGTGATGTTACTCTGAGTGTATATCCACACCGGGCAGGCTTGAAAAATATGCCTGGCCACGGCGGGATTCGAACCTACGACCTTTGGAATACTAGCCCAATGCTCTTCCAACTGAGCTACACTGATATCGAAGGAACTAGACTCAGTTCCGAAATATCGCTTACTCGAACCGTCCTGACCGCGTAGCTCAGTTGGAAGAGCATTGGGCTAGTATTCCAAAGGTCGTAGGTTCGAATCCCGCCGTGGCCAGGCATATTTTTCAGGCCTGCCCGGTGTGGATATACACTCAGAGTAACATCACACAAACATCTTATTCACCTGAGTACATTACACCAACGCAGCAGATTTCATAAATATTAGATTACACTGATATCGAAGGAACTAGACTCAGTTCCGAAATATCGCTTACTCGAACCGTCCTGACCGCGTAGCTCAGTTGGAAGAGCATTGGGCTAGTATTCCAAAGGTCGTAGGTTCGAATCCCGCCGTGGCCAGGCATATTTTTCAAGCCTGCCCGGTGTGGATATACACTCAGAGTAACATCACACAAACATCTTATTCACCTGAGTACATTACACCAATAACACAGCAGATTTCATAAATATTAGATTACACTGATATCGAAGGAACTAGACTCAGTTCCGAAATATCGCTTACTCGAACCGTCCTGACCGCGTAGCTCAGTTGGAAGAGCATTGGGCTAGTATTCCAAAGGTCGTAGGTTCGAATCCCGCCGTGGCCAGGCATATTTTTCAAGCCTGCCCGGTGTGGATATACACTCAGAGTAACATCACACAAACATTTTGTATGATTGTTATCTGTTGCCGTGATTCGGGATATAAATGGTTCTCGTCCTCTTAATTTAGAAGTCACTGGTTAAATGTAAATATTATATCTGAAGCAGGCATATAATTTCAACTAGCACAATTTCGCACAATTGCTGTAAAAATGTAATTCCGAGAATGCAACATCAATGCAGTAAAGGCCCGATTCCACGAGCGTTTTTTCTCGGCGAAATGCGAAACATTTCTACTTACTGCGAAAGCGGACAAAGTGGGACAATTCAATATAATCGCTCATGTGCAACCACCGTATTTCGCAGACACAAGTTCTCGCGACGAATTTCGCCGTCGTGGAATCAGGCCTTAAGGTCCAGACACACCGGATGCGATTCGACAACGCGACGCGATTTTTCAGTTTTGAAAAACAGCCAATGAGAGCAAATCAGTTTGAAACATATGTAGACCAAGTAACTTAAAATGTTATAGCGCTTCTAAATATTTGGGAAATTTAAACTTGGATCAAAGTTATCGGTCAGTGAAAATCGAAAAATCGCGTCGCGTTGTCGAATCGCGTCCGGCGTGTCTGGACCTTTAATGCGCAGATACATGTACGCGGTCGCGTACCTATTTTTTTTCCTTGAAACGTCTTTTTTCGGTCAAAATTTCCTTGAAAAAGGAAATTTCCTTGAAAGTGGAAACACTGATCTCAAAACAAATCAATCTAGCTCGTTCCCCGAGCCTGCGATCCTCTGGAAGAAACGTGAGCAGACGTAGCCTGCGAACAGGCTCAGGCACAGAGTGCCCCAGCGACTAATTACACAATATACTACTTTTTAAATAAATGTTTCGACAAATAGCAATGCTCCGTGATGACGAGCAGATGGTCGATATTTACCGGGTGGCGCAAAAATAAGTTAACCTGTTTGATTTATTTTAACTTAAAAACTAAAAGAGCTATTACACCTAAACTACGTGCATTGCTTTCAGTATTGTCTTACTTAAATTTTGATATACGCCCTGTGCAATTTCGTGCAATATTCACCGAGAGAGCTGCATTTAAACTTGAATAAACATTTTGGGGAGTGTTGAGAACTAGCTAAAAGGGAAGTATCGAGAATTAGATAACCCTTAGCATTTTATCGTAAATATTCGTCTCAATGAAGTGAAGTTTAAATTAAAAATGTTTATGGGATGGAGGTGCTCTTTTGTTTTTGTTTAAGGTCTTTGGGAATGCATGAAAATTAATTTATGAAGCGATTTTGATTAAAAGATTTATTCTAAATATCCAATGACCCTGGGGAATCAAGTTCTAATGTTCCAAGAAAGAAACGTCAAGTGTTTTTTTTTTATAAATACGCCTCGTTTAACGAATGACCAAAGAGTTTTGATATGTTTAGAATAGGTAAGGTTAAATAATGCTCGTGAGGTTATACCGGCGGCGTTGGGCAGGTCTCTGACAACGAATGTGTACTTTCTGACTATAGTACGTCTAAGCACAGGTTATTGCTGTATTAAATATTTGATAGGCCGTTTTTGGCTAATTCTCGACACTATCAAAAATGTTTACTCAAGTTTAACGCAGCTCTCTCGGTCAATATTGCACGAAAATGCACAGGGCGTATATAAAAATATAAGTTAGACAATACTGAATACAATGCACGTAATTTACATGTAATAGCTCTTTTAGCTTTTAAGTTAAAATAAATCAAACAGGTTAACTTTTTTTTGAGCCACCCGGTACATGTTCGACTGTTAACTTAATTTCGTAATTTTAGTCTTCGTCACCTGTCACCAACTTATACATGATATGCCACGAACGAGAAGCTGTTGTGAGGAGAAATGAATATTTTAAAATAGTTTCATACACATGTATATTTTAGTCAAAAGTGAGAAGTTTTCTGGATTTTAGATTCTCTCTAAAATGTGTTTATTTATTTTGAAAACTTCAAGAGTTTGAAACACTCAAATATATTTTCCGAGATCATTTGATGATATCTCATTGCGAACAAAAATGGCCAAATAGGAACGACTTGAAATTAGCGGTCGATAACAAATTTTTCTATCTCTGTTGCCGCAAAATATTCTCAGAATTTTCAAACATTTGCCAAAATGGAGGTCGCTGTATATAAGAAAAACATAAAGGCATTGCAAGTTCTCTGCAATCTTCAGGTTTCGTAAAATGTCTCTATCCACAAAATTTCGTTGTCTAATCGCTAGTTAAATCATTTCAATCAATAGTCAAACTCATAAACAACTTCATTGAAAAATACAAAGTCAAACAGCTAAACTTATCTCTGCAGCAAACTTTTTTGAGTTTTTCTCGGCTTTCATAATATTACAAACTAATAACATGACTAGTCGGGAAATTAGCGATTAAATTTCCCTTCGCCTCGGGAAGATTTGTGAAAGTCCTCGGGCTTCGCCCTCGGACTTTCACAAATCTTCCCTCGGCGTCGAGAAGTTTAATCGCTAATTTCCCTCTGGTCATGTTATTACTTATAATTATTCTTTTGAATTTTGACTATTCTTTCAGAGAATAAGTTCAACACTCAAACATACGCGTTTGCAATTATTATGGAACGCAGTGGCGTAACTACTATGGGCTCAGACCGGGAGAACCCGGGGGCCCCCAACCAAAATGGAGGCCCCCAGGCTCAGCTTATAGAGCAAGAGCATTGGCCAGGGCCTCTGATATGTTACAATGACGAATTCTGAAAAATTTCTCCCCAAAGTCCGGGAAATGGCATTTCAGAGAGTCTAGATTCAAAAATATTCCGGGTGAGCCCTGGACCCCTAGAAAACTCGTACATATACGGTGCTCGACTTGTGCATTTGGCACTTCGACTAGGGGGGCCTTCGAAAATTTTGAACCGGAGGCCCCCTGATATAACGTTACGCCACTGGTGGAACGGCAGAAAAATCAGCCATTTTAAGTCGGTCGTGTTAGTTCAGTTTTTATGACGCAATGATACAAAAAGTATCTCATTCGATAGCTAAAGGCGTAGTCTTTATTGGGATGGGAAAATTAAATCTATACATACCCAATACTGAACACACAATAACACGGAAAATTTACGTAATGCAATAATTTCAAGAAATGAAAGATCTTTATTTTTCTACGTTTTATTCGACAATATTTTAAGCATCTTCAGGAAATTACAAGCATAACAGTGCCTTATATACCATACTTACAGCTACTGTCTTTTTCTTATGGTGATGATGATATGCGTATTAATAGATAGAACAATATAGAGGGGGGGCAAGGGTATTTTCGTGACTCGTGATTAGCTATTATTCGTGTTTTGTGATTCGTGAAATACCATTCCGTGAATCGTGATTAATATGCGCGCAGTGAATCGTGAAGAGCTAAAAGGCTAGCTAGGTTCTTGAATTTACCAATATTAAACCGTAACTTGTGAATGTTTACGTTTAAAACTCGGCCCAAATTTAATATTATGGGGGGGGGGAATGGGAAATAAATAAATTTGCTTCCCGCGGTTGTCTTTCTTGAAGTTTCTTCGTTTCTTGAGGTTGCTTCGTTTCTCGTAATATTTTGTAATGCCTCGCAATGATTTTCATAGTCGTTTAAACGGCTCTAATGTTAAAGTCAGCGAGTTCTGCTGTCTAGAAAATCCGCGTTAAATGGTTTCAGACTTTGTTACGCTTCTGCGTTTCTAAAAATCGTGAAAATGAAATTTTGTTTTTCGTGACTCGTGAAATCGAAAAATAATCTTCGTGATTTCGAGACGAGACCCCCCCCCTTGCCCCCCCTAATATAAGTGTATAGTTCGTTGTGTTCACATTTACTATGCCCAAAATATTGTTAGCGAGTTTCCTTCTAGCCTTAAGTTTCTTGGGAAGAAGGGTTATTAGTGCAGCTAGGATTCAACCCGTCGACATATTTTCAGACTTTTCAGAACTTTCAATCCTTCAGTACGTAACTTCTTGTTTTTCCAATAAAAGATTAAACAGTTAATTGTACAATTCATCAAGCCCATGGTTCTAGTCCACATCCCTGTAAGATTTGCATCATCCAAAAAAATATGCTGTTTCTGGCGAGTTTACTCTTAATCCAATGTACACCCACGTTGGAATGGCTTTCACCACAACACAAGCGAATACCAGCAAACAACTCGATATATAAGTTTTCAAAGAAAACGTCTTTTTCATATCAGGCGATATTCTTTTGTTTTTACCACTTTTCCTGACGACTAGAAACAGTTTGTAGTTCATAAAAAACATTGCAGGAAAGTTAAGAATACAAAGAATTAGCATATATACTTGGTGGGAAGTAACAAAGTCGTTTGAAGTCATCACTTTCAAAATTACTTGGACGATGATCAGTATTGCAAGAAGAGTTAAAAGTCTTCCCTTCGTTACCGATGTTCGATGGAAGATAGGATAAGATGTCGCGAAATATTGACCGAGAGTCATCACCAAAAGAGCGAATAATGGGTTGCTTACTATTTACTTGGAAATTCCAGTGATTCTATACGGAAAGTAAATGGAACAAGCATATTTCGACGGCCCAACCGGAACTTCTCTGGAATGAACGGTTTGTTAAAAGGTTGTCCTCTGTTACCGATTAGAACGTTTCAACCGGTGAATTTTGTTCCATTTACATCTTTTTCATTTCCAAGCTCTTCGTGATTTACTGTAATTCAAACCGGATGAGTTTTCCATGTAAATGGTAAACAACCCTTCAGTGCCTTCCGGTCAGTCACTCTAAATGGAAAGCGCATAATCCGAATGAGATTTTCTATCCGAAAGTTTGCTTACCATTAGCACAATTTCAAACCGGATGGGTTTTCCACACTGAGCTATAATATATCTGGAGGAAGTGCTCCTATCTCTCTTTCAGTCAAGCAAGTGAAGCCAAAAACATGGCGGATTTTCAAGGATTTTCACGTTTGCTGACGCCAGACTGACACCACTGGTCCTAAATCCTCTTGGTAATTACCACTGAGCAAGGCTCATTTTGAGCCCCTACCACTTTCACATCCCCCTGTTTTTCGAAAAAATATATTATTTTAGGTTTTTGTTTTGAAGTTTGCCTCGGTGTTTGCCTTTTCTTCGACATTTTAACATTTGTTTCGAGTTGCACAAGTGGCAAGAATCATCCTGGCTAGTGAAAGACAGGGAACGAATATTCAAACCTCAAGAAATTATGGAAAGACGTTTATGTGCAAAGGTGAAATACTGTTTAATAATATATGTTCAATATTAATAATTTGTGATAGAGTACTATAAAGGTCCTAGGTCAAGACAAAGCGAAATAAACAAGCCTATTTTTACGATATAAAATGCCATTTTTGACCACCATCTGCTTCATGATCCTACTTTATTTATTTCCTACTAAATTAAAGTGCTTTCTATTATATTAGTATAACTATAGAGGAAGACCTTTTAAGCCAGAACTTGATCAAGGCTTTGAATGATTTTATAGTCCATGTAAACTGGCCACTGG